GCTGAAGAGCTGAGGGACAGCGCCCAGGCCCAGAGTTCAGGCCCCACGACTGGACCCAAAAAAAAAAAAATACAGCAACTCTACCCTTGTGGTAATCAAAATCAAATGAGGCCTTTGCATAGTACTCTACCCTGAAAATTCTGACTTGATAAGGTCTGGGCTGAGACACAGGTATGGGCAATTATTTGTTAGTTCCACAAGAATTCTAGTTACAATCTTTATTAAGAACAGCAGTCACAATGCTGGCACACAAGAGTATCTATGAAGCATAAACCACCTAGCTGCCTGTATTCTTTTCCCAGTTTTTAACCTTACACTTCTTGCCTTTTATGACTGAAGGAAGTTAAACCAGACAGCCTCTAAATCTGAGATAAACTCAGAGAAGAGATGGATTAATCATTGTATGGCACTGTCCGACACCACTCAATTATAAAAGCCTCTAAGGCACAGCTTTGTCTTATTTCTTCTGTGACTAACACAGAGCTTGGCAAAACATCCATAAACCAGAGGAAATAGCCCACAGGTTGTTCCATATGAACACTTATGACTTGCCCCAATCTTCTCTCTGAAGACCAGTTGTCTAGGACAAAAATAAACATTTCAAGGATCAATGTTCTCAGGCTTCTACGGTTTTCTGTTTAAAGATCAGTGTCACGCTTTGCCCCTCACATTGCATTAGAGGAAAAACTATAAAACAAAGAGGACTAGACAAGTCAATGCATAGATGTGAGTCTTACCTTCCTAACACAAAAAAGGCAAATCCTATGACTAAAGCACTTTGTGTGTTTCCCTTCACATCCCATGGGAGAGTACATGTACTCCTACTTTCAGGTTTATGGCTAAATGCTGAATCAAGAACAATTTCAGATGGCGGTCTGACTTCTAAGTGCTTATTTTAAAATTTCTAGATCCTCTACCACAAATCACTTGGCTATTATCTAGCAATTTAAATAGCAGCAGCTCATAAAGAAGCATTTCAAAGATTTTTCTACCAATTTTCTGCTTCAGTTTCTCAAACCTTTTCTAGGAAATGAGGCCTTTCTTTAAGTAACTACATCTTTTAAGATACTAAAGAGCCATTATTTCAGTTGAAACCTGACTTCTCCCACTCCAGTATAAATGCTAGGGCAGACCCTAAATTTGAGGATACGGGGTAAAGTTGTGTGACATATTGTACATGTAGTACTAATCTTCATTATTTCAAAAAAAATGTATTTATTTGCCCAATAAGTCTTGTGAATTTGATTGTAAGGGTTGGCTATATTTATAGACAGATTTAACCACGGTGTATATATGAATGGGAGAACACTGAAATTTAGGATTCCATACCCTTCCTCTTTTTCTCCACACGATAAAGCTTGTGTGGACTATAGAAGTTGGAGATTTGTGGTCCTCAGTCCAATAAGAATTACATAATGACTATTACCGTGTCTCAGACTCACCTCAGTCATGACTAAAATATCTGGTAAGACAATAACTCCAACACATTCATTACCATTATCATGACTGCAACCTTCTCAAAGAACAAAAGTAAAGCAGACATCCCAAAAGGAACCAGTTTCAAATACTTAACCTTTACAGTGCCATCAGAGGAAGCACTGATAATATAATGTCCATCTTGTGTAAATGTTGCTTCATTAACAAAAGAGGAATGACCACGAAATTCCTTCAGGGTTTTCCCGGATTTTAAACCATGAATTCTATCACAAATAAAAGCAAAGGAAAAAAAAATAGTTTATATATTATGGTTGGAGCTAAGTGTTGAGTGACTATCAGACAAATTACAGAATTCTGTGCAATAATATTAAGTAAAAAAAGTGGATAATGCTAGTATGTATACAATGATAATCTTAATTATGTCAAACAGTTAAACAAAACTAAATTGCTTAGACTAGAAGAAAGTGTTAATATTACCACAGGTGGTTTATCCCAAAGACTGGACTCTTAAAAATCTAGTAATTAAAGATTCAGAATCATTGGGCCTCAGCTGGATCCCAGGAATCTATGTAGCAAGCTCTCTAAGATGATTATGACACAAATGGGTCCACAGACCATCCTCAAAAACATGAAACACTGCAATATTCCCTTTTGGATTCAAGTGGACAAAAAGACAGTACTATGTCACTATACTGTGGGGAAATGTGGCCTAATATACCCTGACTCTTCCTATCACCCCATCCTGATGAAGAAATAAAGAATCACTACTACTTTCTCCTTCTGGGGCCTCACTTTATCAAATCCAGGTGAGGAGAATTTTGGAATCATTACTTACCTGATTGTCTGGTCAAAAGAGGCACTAAGGATCTGACTGCTATCTTTGGAAAAGCTTAGACAGGTGACACCTTTACTGTGTGCCCTTTCAAACCTCCTTAAACACTGTCCACTCTGAATCTTCCACACCTTTAAAAACAAAAAACAAAACTTGTAAATGGAGTGTTCCACTATAGTGCACAGAACAATTAAGATGCTATACTCACTAATGTACCAAAGCAGTATTAAAAATGTACGCTAATAGCTGAATATGATATGTCTGCATCACACAGAACATTGTCAGTTGATCCCAGTGAAACTTAAAACTCTTTCTTACAAATTATTCCAACAAATATTCAGGACTAGGGAACAAATTCAGTGGTAGGAATGTTTGCAGAAGGTCCTGAGTGCCCAGCTACACTTAAAATTTTTTAAGGCCAGTGGCTAGGCTACTCCTAAGTAGCCTAGTTACGCAGGAGGCTGAGATCTGAGGATCAAGGTTCAAAGCCAGCTCTGGTAGGAAAATCAGTGAGATTCTTATCTCCAATAAACCATTCAGGAAAATGAAAGTGGTGCTGTGGCTCAAGTGGTATAAAGCTAGCCTTGAGCTGAAGAGCTGAGGGACAGTGCCCAGGCTGAGTTCAAGACCCACAACTGACAAAAAATAAAAAAAATAAGGGCTGGGAATGTGGCTTAGTGATAAGAGTGCTTGCCTAGCATGCATGAAGCCCTGGATTCAATTCCTCAGTACCACATAAACAGAAAAGGCCAGAAGTGGCACTGTGGCTCAAGTAGTAGAGTACTAGCCTTGAACAAAAGAAGCTCAGGGATAGTGCCCAAGCTTTGAGTTCAAGCCCCAAGACAGGCAAAAATAAAATAAAATGGTTACTTAGCAGAGACCATTGCTATATTTAATCTATCCTATGGAATAGTACAAGCAATTACATAAAACTATAACGTAAATAGCTATTAATTATTTCCTTGAAAACACACACACACACACACACACACACACATACACACACACACACCAATTAGAAGCCAAGAGGCTCACACCTATAATCCTAGCTATTCAGGAGGATGAGGTCTGAGGATCACAGTTCAAGCCAGCCCATGCAAAAAAGTCCGTAACACTCTTTATCTCCTATAAACTACTCAGAAAAAGCTGGAAATGGTAGAGTATTAGCCTTGAGCACAGAGGCTCAGGGACAGTGCCCAGGACCTGAGTTCAAGCCCCAAGACAGCAAAAAGAACACAAAGAAAATAGAGCCAGGTACTGGTGGTTCATGTCTATAATCCTAGCTACTTAGGAGGTTGAGATCTGAGGATATCAAAGCCAGCCCAGTCAGAAAAGACCCCATGACTTTTTCTTTGCTAGTCCTGGGGCTTGAATTCAGGGCCTGTGCACTGTCCCTGAGCTAGCATTCTACCACTTGAGCCATAGCGCCCCTTCAGGCTTCTGTTTATGTGGTAAGGAACTGAACCCAGGGATTCATGCATGCTAGGCAAGCACTCTACCACTAAACTACATTCCAAGTGTACCAACTACCCCCCTCTCCACCCGCAAGACTCTCATCTCCAACTAACCACAAACAAATCTGGAAATGAAGCTGTGGCTAAAGTGGAAGAGAACTAGCCTTGAGCAGAAAAACTCAGGGACAGCACCCAGGCTCTAAGTTCAAGTCCCAGGACTGGCACACCAAAAAACAAAAAAGAAGAAAAAACATCAGGAAGTGGAAGTATGACTCAAATGGACAAGTACCAGCTTTGAGGGAAAAAGCCACGTGAGAATGTGAGGACCTGAATTCAAGTCCCAGCACTAGCAGAAAAAGGAAGAGGGGAGAAAAAACATTTATAAGGTCTAGCTAGGGACGTGGATCAAGAAATAAAATACCTGACTGGCCAGAGCAAGCTCTAATACCATAAAACAACAACAACAAAAGAAAAATCAAAGTACAATACATCATATACAGTGATCTAGAACAGAACCATACATGGGAAAATTTTGGACTGAAGTCCCCAATCTATCATTTACCAGCTATGTAACCTAACATTATTGGAGCACTCAAGGCAGTTATTAAAATTACACAAGAAACAGTAAAGTGATCATGATAATGTTGAAGTTCATTAAGTAATTATCTATTATTATACTGAAGACCATGTGTACACATCTCTTAAAATTTCTATATATAAGAGTTCATGTCACTAATCCATACCTTGATTTTTCCATCTTGGGCCCCAGTTGCTAACATTTCTGTATCTCTGCTAAAACACATGCAGAGGACAGCATCGTCCATCATCATGAAGTTATCCTGTGCCTGGTATTTAAGATCCTAAAAAAAACAATGCTTAGCAGTTATCAAAATAACATAAAAATCAAGGCCCCAGTGAGCACATGAATGACTAGAAATTCACTAAAAGCAGGATCATGGAATGTACTTACTAGAAATCTCCAAAGCAAGTATCAGTGTCATGTATATATGTTCATAATGAATTGGGAATAAATAATTTTACATAACTAAAACTAGTAGTATTTAAAAAACTGTCAAGATAACCCAGACATGTTCAAGAAGAACTCTAGAACTCAAGGGTCAGTTTCAGAAACAGTTAAATCCTATTTAAAAAACAAACATAATATTCTAGGTCTTTTCGAGGAAGAATTTCTCCAGTTTCTATCTTACATCTTTTAGTTTTGTTTTTTTGTAAGCTGATACCGAGACTTGAACTCAGGGTCTCGTGCTCTCAATCAGCGTTTTTTGTTCAAATCTGTTGTTTCACCACTTGAGGCACACCTCCACTTCTGGCTTTTGCTGGTTATTTGGAGATAAGAGTCTCTGATCCTCAGATCTCAGCCTCTTAAGTAGCTAGGATTATAGGCAAGAGACAACAGTGCCCAGCAAATACTGAATTTTAAATTAAGTGGATCTAAGTTGGAAGCCAGCAGAGTCCATTAGACTGACTCCATCTCCAAACTAATTAACAAAGTTAGGTTGGAGTCATGGCTCAAGAGGTAGAGCACCAAGGGAGCAAGCAAGCCAAGCAAATGCAAGGTCCTGAGTTTAAACACCAGTACCACCAAAATGAAAAGATCAAGAAGGATTCTGGGGGCACAATGGCAGAATGAAAGCATTTTTTTTTTTTTTTTGCTGGGCACTGTCCCTGGGCTTTTTTTTGCTCAAGGTTATGTTCTACCAGTTGAGCCACAGTTCCAGAGACTTTCTACCCAGGCTGGCTTTGAACCATGATCCTCAGATCTCAGCCTTCTAAGTAAACTAGGATTACAGGCATGAGCCACCAGCGCCCAGCTTACAACTACCATTTACACTCCATGAATGAGAAGAACCTGGTGACCAGATTCTGAAGAGGAAACCACAAGGTGGAAAAGACCAGGAAACTACAGAGAAGCAATTACAGGAGTAGAAAAGCAGCAGGGAGTTTGGATCTGGATTTTGGCTGTCTTGGCTGGGAGAAGAGAAACCAAAGATTGGAATACCAAATAAAATCACAGTCCCACCAGGAGATCACCAAATTTTATAGCAGGAAAAGCATAAAACCTGAAAGGCTGTGCTGTGCTGGGAGACAGTGACTAATCTGTTATGAGAGTCTGGAAAACTATTTCGTGTCCCCCAGATCCCAGAAAGCAAGAGAGTCGGCAGCTTGAAACATTTTCTCTAGGAGCCCAGGGACAAGGAACCATGGCAGTTTAACAACACAAGACACTTCGCTATAAACTTGGGTATAAATAAGTTACAGAGTATGAGGGGAGGACACAGTGATGAACCATTGAGAGAGGAACTAGCTGAGCAGTTCAAGCTGCAAGAAGTTATGCTATAGCTTTGAGACTTGATGCTGGAGAAGCCCAACAGGAGGCAGTACTGGAAGATGAGAGGATAGGGAGTTCCTGCCAAGACAAATACAAGAGACACCTGGGTGACAGCTGTAGGTCTCATCACAGAAAAGCTGCAGTACTCTAGAAACCCAGCATACACATAGGACTTGCTGCCAAGCTACAGCAGATCAAAACATCTGGCACAGCCAGACTCATGGAAGCAAAGCAGTCTTGAGATTCCCTGCTATGTAAGCAATGAAGCATCAATCACCAACTTGAACTCTAAACAAAGGCCATGCCTCCATGTAAGGTTTTCTAAGGGAAGCAAAGTCCTCACACTCAGACCTAAAACAGCTTTTTGTACACTGCTGAGAAGTCCATATATAAATAAATATATGTGTGTGTGTGTGTATATATATATATATATAAAAACAGAAAAACTGAAAAATTCACATTTTGTTGTACATGAATATTGGTCTTTGTGCCTATTTTGTTTTTTAGTATAAATTGGATAAAGACCTTTAACTCCCATACTCTAGCATAGGACTGCTACTCCCTACTATTTAATTTTGTATTTTGCTTGTCCTTCTCTTGCTTTTCTCTGAAGTCATCATACCTAAATCCTAATACCCTTCACTATTTTCTTGCAAATCATAGTACCATTACCTTCCCATACCCCTTCCCACTTACACCATCCTTCCATCTTCTAGCAGAACCCTTTTCTTATACTCTCTTTACTCCTGCCACCCATCTCTAATTCTACCTCATTACATTCTACACTCACAGCTAGTAACTAAATCACCCGAACATTATTAGGCTTGTTGCTGGTGTTATTATCGTTGTTGTTTGTTCTTTATCACTGGCAGCTTCTGGGTTTTTAATCATACATAACTCTCCTCACTTTACCTTCCCTACTCAACATAAAATTAACTGAATTTTTCTTTACTTACCTCCCTCCACCTTCTCATTAACCTCTCCAATAAAGCTAAGCTCTTACCCCTATCCACCCTCTATAATCTTAATAGTTTTATTCCAATATACTCTATATCCTCTTTATATCCTTCCTAGCTTAACTTCCTTGGGCCAGGAAGGTGGCTCAGTGGTAGAGTGTTTGCCTTGCATGCATGAGGCCCTGGGTTCGATTCCTCAGCACCACAGATGCAGAAAGAGCCACAAGTGGTGCTGTGGCTCAAGTGGTAGAGCGCTCACCTTGAGCTGAAGAGCTGAGGGACAGCGCCCAGGCCCAGAGTTCAAGCCCCAAGACCGACAAAAAATAAAAAAAAAAATAAAGTAAGCATCTAACTTAACTTCCCTGGTTAAGGAAGGTCTTCTTAGAGCATGAAAATACACCTTGGGTTCTACATTCCTTCCTCTAAAATGATCAGAGCAGATCTGTCCTCATTAGAGATGGTCACAAAAACATAGCTAGGCACACTAGTGGTCACATCTGTAGTCTCAGGAGACTTGAGATCTGAGAGTCACAGTCTGAAGCCAGACCAGGTATTAAAGTACATCAGATTCATATTTCTAATTATCTGCAAAAAGCTAGAAGTGGAGGTATGGCTCCTATTGTAGAGCATCAGCCTTGAGCAGAAAAAGTCAAACAAGATCACAAGGCCCCAATACTAACACAAAAAAATACAAGCAAACAAAAACTAAACATAAAAGATACAAGTACTAAAAGAGCATATAGAAGAAAAGTTGAATAAATTTGATATGAAAGAATTAAGCCAATAAAATAAAGCCAAAGCAAAGTCAGAAGACAAAATCAAAATTGAAAAATATTTGCGATACACATTTTGATTTCCTCAAAACAGAAAGAGCTCCTTAAAATCAGTTTTTTTTTTTTTTTTGTTTTTTTTGGGGGGGTCAGGTCATGGGGCCTGAACTCTGGGCCTGGGTGCTGTCCCTCAGCTCTTCAGCTCAAGGCTACCTTTCTACCACTTGAGCCACAGTGCCACTTCCGGCTTTTTTCTTTTTGCTTATGTGGTGTTGAGGAATTGAACCCAGGGCCTCATGAATGCAAAGCAAGCGCTCTACCACTGAGCCACCTTCCCAGCCCTAGTTTTTAAAAAATTGAATAGGAAAATGATAAAGGATACTAACAGACCTCACAAAATAGGAAACATTGATGACTATTCACATAAACTTCATTCATAAAATAAATACAACTAGTAGTACAATTAGGTTAAGATTAGAAATCCTCTTGTCAGGTGCCAGTGGCTCATGCCTATAATCCTAGCTACTCAGGAGGCTGAGATCTGAGGATCATAGTTCAAAGCCAGCCCAGGTAGGAAAGTCTGTGAGACTCTTATTTCCAATAAACCACTAGAAAACCGGAAGTGGTGCTGTGGCTCAAGTGGTAGAGCACTCAACTTGAGCTGAAGAACACAGGGAAAGCGCCCAGGCCGAGTTCAAACCCCAGGACAAAAAAAAAAAAAAAGAAACCCTCTTAAAGTGACTGGGTACATATGGGTTCAACCCATACCAAAAAATGTTTTAAAGTAATTATTTCCAAAAAATATTATAAAAATAAGGAGAACAGCATGTATAATATCCTATCATCCATATAAAATCTTTGGTAAGAATATAAATTAATTATTTACACACATACAGAACATTCTAGGAAGAATAAGAAAGTATTAACCTGGCAATCTAAGGAAGAAAAATGACTGCTAAAGGACAGAAAGTGAGAGTCAAAACTCTTAAATGTTATGCCACTTTTTATTACCCATTCAAAGTAAATTTTGTAAAATATTCTTTCAATTCTTATAGATAAAGGTTTTCCCTGAACAATAAATTCAGAATTTAAAATAGCTTTAGTTCATTTTCAACATAGTGTCTTGTGAGTATTACTGGCTGCGTTAGTTCACTCTTTTTTTTTCTTTTTTTGCCAGTTGTGGGGCTTGAACTCAGACTGGGCACTGTACCTCAGCTCTTCAGCTCAAGGCTAGCACTGTACCACTTGAGCCACAAGGCCACTTCCAGCTTTTTCTGCCGGACCCAAGGCCTCATGCATGCAAAGCAAGCACTCTACCACTGAGCCACCTTCCCAGCCCCTAGTTCACTCTTTGTCCCACCATTTCTGTGCTTCCCCTTTTCCTCCCCAAATCAGATTAACTTACACACAAGACAAAAGGTGCAGAAACAGCCGGGCCAGTGGCTCACGCCTGTAATCCTAGCTACTCAGGAAGCTGAGATCTGAGGATCATGGTTCAAAGCCAGCCTGGCAGGAAAGTCCATGAGACTCTTATCTCCAATAAACCACTAGAAAACTAGAAGTGGCACTGTGGCTCAAATGGTAGAGTGCTTGCCTTTAGCTGAAGAGTGCAGGGACAGTGCCCAGGCCCAGAGTTCAAGCCCCACAACCGACCAAAAAAAAAAAAAGGTGCAGAAACAAAAGATGAAAAAGAGGGGAGAAAAAACAAAAAGTAAAATAAAGGAGAAGGGGGAGCCAGAAGGAAATAAGCGAGGGAAGAGGTAAGACTGTTCAAATAGAAATGTACTCAATATTTGACTTATAGCTCCTCTGTACATCACCTTTCCAATAAATATATAAGTAATAATTTTTTAAAAAATAGCTTTAGTTTTTAAATTATAAAATACATGCTCATTACTTAAAGTCTCTTTCTCAAATAATCTACCTGAGAAATAAGACATAGATAATTAAAAGTAATTTTTGTATAAGCTAAAACATATAGAATACTTTACCTTCCTGATTTTTCCAGTAGTAAAGTTCCATACTTCAATAAATCCATCAACAGACCCAGTGACCAGATATTGACCATCTGGAGAAAATCTAGCACATTCCACATGTGATTTCTGACCAAACTGTTTTAAAAGAAAGAATGAAAAATGAATTTTTATCTCATGGCCTTAAAAGAATTCTTGTTTTAGCCTTTTGAGAAACCTCACCCTGTACAAGTCATAGCTGGCCCAAAGAATTAGGTATTTCTATACCTTGACATCAGAAGCTGGTCTACTTTTTCTGACAAGTTTTATGTCTAAATGTTCAGATTAAGATACATTTTTGACTATGAGATTATTTCCAAAGGAAAGGGGAAAAACAGAAAGAGATTTGCTATAATCAGCTACTATTAGTGTGATTTTCACCCTCAGCATAGCCAAAACATAGTATGTGTTTTCCTACACTAATTTGTAAGCTTCCTATCACTGTTTTATGACTTTTATTTAATCATGTGATACCGAATTCTTTTTTTTGGGGGGGGTCCGGTTGTGGGGCCTGAATTCTGGGCCTGGGCGCTGTCCCTCAGCTCTTCAGCTCAAGGCTAGCACTCTACCACTTGAGCCACAGCGCCACTTCCAGCTTTTTTCTATTTGCTTATGTGGTGCTGAGGAATCAAACCCAGGGCCTCGAGCATGCAAGGCAAGTGCTCTACCACTGAGCCCCCTTCCCAGCCCCATGATACCAAATTCTAAAAGGCCTAATTTAAACTTGATAGACTGTTTACTCAAGAAAATGCATGTTAAGCATTTGATGGTCCAGTAACATAAGAAAACTATAGGAACTTAGACAAAAGTGGAAACCAGAAAGGTCTCATGTGTATTTCTTTTTCAATACCAAAAATGGAAAATAATTATGGCAAAAAAAATTAGTCTAGCAGCATAATTATAATGGATTTCTACTTTACTTGTCTGAATGTTTCCACCAGGACAAATAAAGTTATTGCTCAAAAATAACATTATATTCAAGTTAGAACATGTAACTGAGGAAAGACAAAGTCAAAATGTTAAACCAAGTCAATGACTGGAACAACAACACAGCATACTTTTAAATCCATAAATTATAGCACAAATCCAGGGAGAAGCTCCAATAATTTTGTGAACTGTAGCAATTACTTGATTTGCACTTTGTCCCAGAAAAACCTCAGACTAAAATAAAAATACAAGGGTTGTACAGTTCAGTTGTATAGCACTAACCTTAACCTAGTAGGTGTGAGGCCTTAAGCTTGATCCCCAAAACACATACATACATACATACATACACACACACACACACACACTCAACAGTAAGATGTTATCTATCACATAAAGCTACCTGTTTTACCATCCATGGCATGCAGGAGACAAAACAACAAATGCTTCTACCAGAATCTAGAAAGTTCACAGTTAGTCCTAGGCTTAACCAGAGTTAAGGATTATTACATGTGGGATTATTGAGAGGAAATGTAATAGCAGATGATCCAACTATCACCTTTGTTTTCATTTTTGGTCAGTTGTGGGGCTTGAACTCAGGGCCTGGGTGCTGTCCCTAAGCTCTTTTTCTCAATGCTAGTACTCTACCACATTGAGCCACAGCTCCACTTCCAGTTTTTGAGTGGTTAACTGGAGATAGAGTCTCACAGGCACTTTACTGCCCCAGCTGGCTTTGAACTGTGATCCTCAAATCTCAGCCTCCTGAGGAGCTAGGATTACAAGCGTGAACCACCAGTGTCCAGCCTAAGTATCACATTGTTATCTACTTGGCTATACATTTAAGTTGTGTCACTACCGGACCACAGCAGTATCTTCAGTGGACATTAACAGCAACCTTCAGTGTTATCAGACTTAAGAGTTCTTCACCCAGGCCCTGTGACAATCTGTATACAAATGACTACTGACCAGCTTGAGTGTCTGAGGATACTACCTTAATATGCCTGCTCAGCTGTGTAGGAAACTTTTCTTCTTCCACATCTTTTACAGCTGCTTTACCTCGAAACAAATCTATGGTCATACCAGGAGGAAGCAACCCTTGGTGCTGTTGCCACTTCAGCGCCTATAAAAACAAAAGTATAGCAACTACTAAAGTGCTTTTAAGCTCTGGTCATGATTACTCAGATAAAACCAAGCTTGAAAGGATGAGGTCCAGAGGAAACTCAGTCTTCTACACACTAATCATCTTTGGTCATCCAACACAACATAGAAAGTTCAAAAACACACCCTGATCTGAGTCAGAGGAGACTCTGAGAGTCAAGAAATCTATACCACTCCTATTTTCCTTATAAGCATAGCTCTGTATTATAAACAAAATTTGGAAAATTAATTTCCTATAGAACCAATATTAAAAATACAGCCAGTCTTCTTCCCCTTACATAGTGTTTTACTGCCCTATTAATAATTATATGTATAATTTTATACTTTCATTTTTAACTTCCATCAGGTCACACTGTGACATAACTATTGTTTCAATGGTTGTAAAAATTCACCTGTCTTACTACATGTTTCTGTTTATTTAATCTATCTACATTTCTTCTAACTTTATACTCATCTAAATAATGTTGTTTACTTATACTCACTTATAACACTTTGTATTACCTAAATAACTCAGTTATCTATAAAGATAGGTTCTTTTTTTCTTTTTCTTTCTACCAGTAGCTGGATTTAAACTCAGAACCTTATGCTCTTGCTCGGCTTTTCTACTCACGGCTGATGCTCTACCACTTAAGCCACACCTCTATCGCCAGCTTTTTGCTGACTAATCATATCAAGGTCCCAAGTACTTGTCTGTTCAGACATGATCCTCAAATTTCAGTCTCCTAAGTAGCTAGGATTATAGGCATAAGACACAAAGTACCCAGCTACTGCTGCTTTTTTTTTTTTTAAGTCAGACTTGCTATGTAGCCCAGGTTGGCCTTGAACACAAAATTCTCTTGTCTCAGCCTTTAGATGTTAAGATTACAAGCATATGCCACCACACCTAGTCTTATTAAGGCTTTTTCAATTTCGACAATATCCCTCCTCAATAGTGTATTCCTAGAGAAAAGTCACTGGTTCCAAAAAAAAGAACATAAATGGTTAAGACTCAATAGATAGCCAATCATGGTGTTACTTATCTGTAATCCCAACTGTAAGGGAAGTATGGAAGACTGAGGTTCAAGCCATACCATAGACAAAAATAAGAGCCCTTACCAGAAAAAAAAAAACACTAAAAGCAAAAAGGGGTTAGGGGTACGGCTCAAATTGTAGATCACCTATCTAGCAAGCAAACCCTTATTCCTCACATCTTATCAATTAATGTGGAAAACACAGGTGATTATTTCTATTCTCTAGAAAGTCCATGAAACTGATAACAAAGGAAGAAAAAGTAATATAACAAGCCAGGCATGTTGATGCATGCCTGTAATACCAGCACTTGGGAAGCTAAGGATCACAAGTTTGAGCTACATAGCAAGACTGTCTCAAAAAAAAGTATAAAAAATTGTTTTAAAAAAAAGATAAAGAGGGGCTGGGAAGGTGGCTCAGTGGTAGAGCGCTTGTCTTGCATGCATAAGGCCCTGGGTTCGATTCCTCAGCACCACATAAGCAAAAAGAAAAAAGCCGCAAGTGGCGCTGTGGCTCAAGTGATAGAACGCTAGCTTTGAGCTGAAGAGCTGAGGGACAGCTCCCAGGCCCAGAGTTCAGGCCCCACGACCAGAACCCCCCCCAAAAAAAAAAGAGAACGGAAGAAAAAAACCGCAGAAATGTTAAAATTCAGAAACTGGAAAGTGAATGGGATAGTGGCAAACAAGAACTGAGAAAAGTGAAAGTCAGGTAATATTCAAGTTATGGATAGAGAAAACACAAGAATCAAATCCAACTTTATCTTCTAAGTTACTATATGTGTTACTCCATCAAAATGCATCCTCTGAACTACCAAAGGAGAAAAATAAGGATCCACAAAATAGGACCCAACACCAAAGCCCACAACTCTCAGTGTAAACACAAAAGAAGCTCACACTTGTAATCCTAGCTACCCAGGAGGCTGAGATCTTAGGATCCCAGTTTAAAGCCAGCCCAGGCGCATAGTCCATGGCTCTCTTATCTCCAACTAACCAGTAAAAAGCCAGAAGTAGAGCTGTGGCTCAAGTGGTAATGCATTAGACTTGAACAAAAAAGCTAACGGACATCTCCAGCCCCTCACCCCCCACCCAACACATAAGACAAAAGAAGTTCTAGTACAGTAACTGTTAGAATTCAAAAGAACTAACCCTTATGAAACAAAAAAGGTTTAGGAAGATGATGATCTAACGATAAAAGGTAAAAAGGACCTTTTATAATTCTAACAGGAAAATTCATGCTGAATTAGATTATTAGTGGAAAAACAAAACAAAAAATAAAGCAATTATTGCAATCCATTAGGAAAATGTAATAGAAATATAATTATTTTAAGAATAATAGGCATGTAAAGAGAGTAAACAATGAATACTGGTTTAACTAATGTTTGTGATATTATACTGAAAATCTGGGAGAAGGTAGTATTATGGAACATAAGACGAATAATCTCTTAATGAATGTTAGCAACTGATGTTTACCAAAAAAAATCAAGTAATAACAGTATAAAGAATATTCAGCTTTAGAGGCAAATGCCAGGAGAGCTAGGAGTAGTTGTAGAAATAAATACAAGTCAGAAAAAGTACATAGGTAGCACTATTCCAATATAAGCCCTGAAGTATTAGGTAAGATACATACATTTAAGCTGGGTGCCTGTGGCTCACACTTGTAATCCTAGCTACTAAGATGGCTAAGATCTAAGGATCATGGTTCAAAGCCAGCTGGGGCACAAAAGTCTGTGAGACTCTTGCCGCCAATAAAATATTCAGAAAACCAGAAATGGTACAGTGGCTCAAGTGGTAGAGCATTAATTAGCCTTGAGCTGAAGAGCTGAGGGACAGCATTCAGGCCCAGAGTTCAAGCCTATGACCGACCCCCCCCCCAAAAAAAAAGATACATACATCTATTACTTTGATTAAAAAGAAAAAGCAACATTTTTTGTGTGTGCACCAGTCTTGGAGCTTGAACTCAGGGCCTGGGCACTGTTCCTGAGCTTTCTTTTGCTCAAGACTAGCACTATACTACTTAAGCCACAGCACTACTTCTGGCTTTTCTGTTTATGTGGTACCAAGGAATCAATCCAGGGCAGCTTCATGCATGCTAGGCAAGCACTCTACCACTAAGCCACATCCTCAGCCAAAAAAAGCAACTTTTTAAAAAACACAGGAAAAATAAGCTCCAAGTTCTACTGAAAAATAGGGTAGCATAAACATAATGTACTGTATATTTCATAGGAGATAGAAGATTTTGAATGTTTTCACTATGAAGATATGAGAGAAGAAATGTTGAATAGATGTGTATATATGTATTAAAGTATCACATGGTAACTTCATATAGAGTATTTTATACAAATATAAAATTTAATATACACATATGCAGTATTTTTATGTGCCAATTAAAAAAGCAAGTTATGAGCTGGGGCCATGGACTAGTAAACACAAGGTCTTGAATTTAAACTCCTTACTACCAAAAAAGAAAAAGAAAACTTACTTCCAAATTTCAGAATCATAAACCTGAGGTTGGGGTATAGTTCCATAGCAGAGCATTGGCCTAACATATATGAAGCCATGGGTTCTATCTCTAACACAACAAAAAATTAAAATTAAAAAAAAATCATTAGAAATCTATAACAAAGAGCTTCTGGGGTTTTTCCTAGTTGCAGGTTTAACACAAAGAATCTATTTACATTTCTGTTTATCACTATGCCCTTTGTTATTTATAAAACATCTATTACACCAGGTAGCTTTATGCCAACAACAACGCTAAAAATACTACCAAAAAAAAAATCATTCCCAGAAGCTATCTTTTACTGTTTATACCAGGCAATAGATAAAGTACTTTATGAGCATTATTCATTTAATCTTTTCTTCAACACCATGAGTAAATGGAATCAAAATTTAAGTCACTTGCCAAGACCACATCACTGGTGTCTAGATTTTATAGCAGAAAAACATTTCTGCCAGTTTCCCCATGACAGTTCCGCTTGTACCTGGTATCTTGACATTGTTATCAGTAGAACTCTCCATGGTATCCCACACAGGATAATAAAATCTATGCCAACCTAATTCTAACTTATGCTAGAGATTACATTCTTACCCACTAACCTACAGTGCCTTTCCCTAGAAAGAGGAAAAGTAGCATGGCAAGCTGCTGCTACAAGCAGTTTCATAGATAGGCTCCAATTTAGAGGATGTCCGATTTCTTTAGCTCAGACATAAAGCTTATACACAGGAAACAGTACCAGAAGTTCAGAGTCTTAAGTTTCTATAGTCATTTAATTACCTGTCCGAGCAATGCCATGAGACGAGATGGAGGTACCACACTGACTTCCCCAGCTAAGGCTTGGGCAATGGCTGCTCTTCTTTTCTCTTTGCTACTTCCATCTGGGTATGCCTGAAAGAGAGGAGGTAGCATCATTCCCAAAAAGTAACAAGAAAATAGGAGTGGACTTAAACAACTAAACACTGGAGAAAAAAAAAGATGAAACTACCCAGTTAAATGGGATTAATTAAACCAATTTAGTTTTCAAAAATGGCTGCCAGAATCTACCCATTGCATTTTAAAAATATAAGCTGAAAGAGAACAAATGCCAGTCAATGCACTTTGTTCTTTCTGGGTCTAACTTTTCACTTCTCTATTAACCAACACACAACCTTCAAAAAATGGGACAGGGATGGTTGGGAAAGAATCTCAAATAATCAGAAAAAATTATTTCCTTTAAAGAAAAATTACATGGTTCGGGGCTGGGAAGTTGGCTCAGTGATAGTGTGCTTGCTTTGCATGCATGAAGCCCTAGGTTCGATTCCTCAGCACCACATAAGCAGAAAAAATCTGGAAGTAGCGTTGTAGCTCAAGTGGTAGAGTGCTAGCCTTGAGCTAAAGAGCTGAGGGACAGCACCCAGGCCCAGAGTTCGGGCCCCACGATGGACAAAACAAAAAACTCCAAAATGATTAAAATAAAGACCAAAGGAGAAAAATTACATGGTTCAAGTGATAACACAACCTGCTTTACAAGCATAAAGTTCTAAATTCAAACCTCAGTATCACTCCAAAGAAAGAGCACATTATCATATATTTTCTCAGTTATAAAAGTTTTCATATCACAGTCATACCTCACGAGGATCAAAATAAGACCTGGCCAAGAGGTTCTCCAGATGAATATACCGCTCTGGCTGTGTTTGCTTTAACATAATCATGGGGTCAGTCTGTCTCAAAAGTGATCTGGCAGCACCCAATTCTCGGAGTTCTATCAATTCCAGAACAACCTGAACAATGGAAAAAAGATGAATGATTCAACACAAATATTATATCACTTTTTCTTTTTACTAGCAATTTCAGATGAACAATGAACTATAAGCAACTCTAATTATTCAATGTCTTCCTTCTTTCCTACCCTCCCTCCTTTCTTTCCTTCTCCTCCCAAATTCTCCATTTTCAAAGGTGTAACACTACTCTCAGCACCTCACTTTATCTACCCATCTCTCTCCTCTCAGGTTTTCTGTTTAGAATAGAAATGCTAACAAAAACTAAAGATGAGAATAGTCCCATGCCTCTGTAAACTCCAGACACCTTTCTCCAATCATCAAAATTTTTCTTGGTAAATTATTCAATTTACCTAAACTATGAAGAAACAAAGTAGGCTATGCACAATGGCTCACACCTGAAATCTTAGCTACTCAGGAGGTAGAGATTGGGAGGCCAGTCTAAAAAGTCAGCATAACTCCATGCTAGACATTGTAGTATATAATTGTAATGCTTGGTAAGCAGAAGGCCATATGTAGGAGAACCACTATCTAAGGATGGCCTAGGGCAAAAACATAAGACCCTACCAGAAAATAACTAAAAACGAAAAGGAATGGAGGCACAACTCAATCACTAGAGCTCCTGCCTAGTCAGTGTGAGGCCTTGAGTTCAAACCCTAGTTAATAAATAATTTAGAGCTGGACATCTGTGGCTCATACCTGTAATCCTAGCCAGCCCAGGCATGAAAGTCTATGAGACTCTTATCTCCAGTTAGTTACCAAAAAAAAAGTTGGAAGTGGAGCTGTGGCTCGAGTGGCACAGTGCTAGCTTTGAGCAAAAAAGCTCAGGCACAAAGCTGGGCGAGGGTGGCTCTCGCCTGTAATCCTAGCTACTCAGGAGGCTGAGATCTGGGGATCAAGGTTCAAAGACAGCTGGAGCAGGAAAAGTCCATGAGACTCTAATCTCCAATAAACCACTCAGAAAACCATAAGTGGGTCTGTGGCTCAAGTGATAGAGCACTAGCCTTGAGCTGAAGAGCTGAGAGACAGTGCCCAGGCCCAGAGTTCAAGCCCCACGACTGACAATCAAGCAAGCAAGCAATCAATCAATTTTAGGAGCTTAGAGCTCCTAAAATTCTTGGAATATTGCCAGTGATTAGAGTATCTTTGTTATTCATTAATACCTTAAATCACACCTTAATTTGAGCTAAAGAGATGGCTCAGAATAGAGACTAAATTACCAGAAAGACCCACCCATGTGATTAGAAGGTTAAAACTTTCAGTCAGTCCAACCTCTGGGAGTATTGGGGAAGATGGCGATTGGAACTGGAGACTATGTAAAAACCTCAATGGCACTTCCTGGTTGGTGAACAAACACATTGACATGCAGATGGTAGTGCAACCTAATTCTACAGACAGTACCTCATACCTATATTAGAACCATCTCAGACCTTTCCCTGAATATGTTTAGTCCTGATCTGCATCCTTGACCAAAAAAAAATCATAATTGCAAGAATTATTAAGTATTAAACTTAGTTCTGAGTTCTGTGAGTCACTGGAGAATTAGTAAACTTGAATAGCTTATGAAAACACACACAAATTTGTAGCTAGCCAAAAGTGTAAGAAGCCTGGAGACCCTCCAAATACAGTTGGTATCTACAGTAAAAACAATATTGTAGCAGACTGAGCATTTTACTTATATGGTCTTAGCTAATTCTGGTTAGTGCTAGATCACAGTATAACAACTGGTATCACAATATTCATTTAATGATCAGTTGAGAAATAGTTTCAATTCTCCTAGGTTTGATCTCTAAAACCACAAAAAAAATTTTCAATTTGGAAAAATTTTGGATTTTTCTAGGAGATAAAATACATTGTCAAGCCTTAACAAAGTAAGTTTTACAAGAAGTTATACCCCCAAGAGTGCTTGAAGGAATGCTCAAATTCTCTCCAGTACGGGGGCTGGGCCACAGCCAACCAGCCTATAGGCACCAACATCACCACCCCTCTTACCTGTTCATAGAGGTCAATAAGGGTTTTGTCTGGCAATTTTAGAGACTGTATAGCTTGTAAAACAGTATCCCAATGGCCACTATTAATGTCAGCCACAAAACTCTCAATGCTGTCCACTGTATTCAGAGAGACGGTAGTCTCCTCTTGTAAGGTAGCCAAGGCCCGATGTAAACTGTTCTCCTTCAAGTACTGCATGATAAGACGGATCACACTGAAAATAAGAAAGAGTCATTTAGCTTCCTCCAGAAAGGTTTACTTCTCTTTATCTTTGGCCTTACTCAACAGAGGGCAAAGTAAGCTCACCCCAGCTTAATTTCCCTATTCATCTTTTTTTTTTGGGGGGGGGGGCCGGTCATGCGACCTGAACTCTGGGCCTGGGAGCTGTCCCTCAGCTCTTCAGCTCAAGGCTAGCGCTCTACCACTTGAGCCACAGCGCCATTTCCAGCTTTTTTTCTTTTTTGCTTATGTGGTGCTAAGGAATTGAACCCACAGCCTCAGGCATACAAAGCAAGCGCTCTACCACTGAGCCACCTTCCCAGCCCCTCATCTTCCTTTTACTACATACTTTCTATTTATTTATTGTGAGTAAAACTCCCCCGAGAGTCATAAATTCTAAGTTTCATCCTGAAGAGAGAAGAATTGGGATTCAGAGAGGGAGACAGGAGAATTGGGATTCAAAGAGGGGAAATCAGTTGCCCAGTGCCTCACAGTCAGAAAGCAAGTTGCTACCAACTTGCTAGGCCAGAAATCATTTTTCCTTCCTTCCTTTTTTTTTGGGGGGGGGTATCTGGGGCTTGAACTCAAGGCCTGGGCGCACTGTCCCTCAACTTTTTTTTCTCAAGCTTAGAGCTCTATCACTCGAGACACAGGGTCACTTCTAGCTTTTTGGAGTCAGTCTCAGGACTTTCCTGTCTGAGTCAGCTTCACAACAATCCTCAGATCTCAGCCTTCTTGAGTAGCTAGGATTATAAGCATGAGCCCTCTGGCATCAGCCCAATTTCTTCTTCTTATTGAAAGACTGTCATTGTTAGGAAAACATCTAAGTCTCTGTTGGATGACTTGGTCTGTTTTTAAGTTGACAACCAAAAAATAAAAATTGAGGATTTTCTTAATGAGGATTTGAAAACATAGGTAGAGCCATATTGTGCATGAATGCAAAGTTAGGCCTCCTCATCTGCAAAAATAATACCTGCTATTTTTTTTTGCCAAGTAGCTCAAGTGGTAGAGTGCCAGAGATTGAGGCTCTGAATTCAAGCTCCAGTACTGGCATATAAATTTTCTTAAAAGAAGAACAGAAACAACAATAAAATATACCATGTTCATTTGACACATTTTGTCAAGTAATGAGCAATCTAGTTCCTCAGGGACACAGATTTGTACATTTATTCATTTAATAAAAATTAAAGCAATTGACTAGACTGCTTATAGAATGTTTAGTATAAAAAGTAGTTAATAAGGGCTGGGAAGGTGGCTCAGTGGTAGAGTGCTTGCCTTGCATGCATGAGGCCCTGGGTTAGATTCCTCAGCAACACATAAACAGAAAAAGTCGGACGTGGCGCTGTGGCTCAAGTGTTAGAGCACTAGCCTTGAGCTGAAGAGCTCAAGGACAGTGCCCAGGACCAGAGTTCAGGCCCACAACTGCCAAAAAAAAAGAAAAAGAAAAGAAAAGAAGTGAAGCTGGGCGTCGGTGGCTCATGCCTGTAATCCTAGCTACTCAGGCGGTTGAGATCTGAGGATCCCAGTTCAAAGCCAGCTCCGGCAGAAAAGTCCGTGAGACTCTTATCTCCAATAAACCACTCAGGAAACCGGAAGTGGGGCAATGGCTCAGGTGGTAGTGCGCTAGCCTTGAGCTGAAGAGCTGAGGGACAGCGTTCAGGCCCAGAGTTCTAGCCCACGGCCGACAAAAAAGAAAGAAAGAAATTAGTTAATAAATAGTAACTATTGTTGCTCATAAGAACATGCCTCAGTCACTGCTGCCACAGTACGGTGCTCAAGTTTGGTTAAATCAACATAGGGACTCCAAAACACGCAGTCTATTCCAGCTCCTGCCTTAACTTAGTTATCTTAACCTGTGTGGCCGTCCTGACCATCTTTCTTTTATGTTTCTCTACAGTATCCATCAGAATCTGTTACAGCTTTTAATTTGCTTGATTTTCTTGTGTATTAGTTATTTTCCCCATCAAAACAAACATCCTATAAGGCGAGGGGCTTTTGTCTGCTGCGTGGCCTATTCTATTTCCAGCGTCGTAAACAGTAACCTAATGGGCTTCCGTGTAAGAGAGTAAAACCCCCTTCCCGCTGGTAGCGGATCTTCAGGACAAATCCTCGGCCTCCCTTAGACTCAGAAACGCGAAGTTCTGTCTGGAAGCCTAACTGTTCGGCGTCGGTAAGGCTCAGTGGAGGGTGGGGTCCTGGAGAGCACCACTGGGCATTTTCTACAGCCCTCCGCCCAATTGTCATGCTTGGGGCCCGATCTCCGGATTCGGTGGGTCTCTCGTTTATGGCTGCAGAAGCCTGCAGGCTCCACGTTCCAAGCAAACGACAAGTCCCACGCGGGGCTCCGGACGCAGAGCCAGCGGTGTGTGCGGAAGGAACCGGGACGCTGAGGAGCCCGGGCTGTACGAGGGCAGGGCGCCCCTCCCGGCCCGCACCGAGCGCGGCCGCGCGCCGCCCGGCGCCCCGGGCCTCGGCTGCGGGCGGCTTCCCCGCGGCCCACCTCCAGGGTGCCCGGGTAATGCACGGCCACCAGAGGACAAGGAAGCGGCCGTCCACCCCGCGCCACGGGCACGACGCAATCCCCGAAGGACCCTCCACCCCACGGCACTGACTTCCGGGCGTCCCGCCACGCAGCGAACACCCGCCCGCGCAGAACTCACTCGGAAGACTCGATTTCGATCGACATCGCGGTATCGCTCCCGAGCAGGCCCCGCTTTCCTCCCAGACGCCGCCGCCGCGCAAGTCACCAACGACACCTCCGGCGGTCGTCTAACGTCACTTCCGCCCGGCGCCTGCCTCTGGCCCAAGAGGCCAGAGACGTCTGGATCTTAGGGGCGGGGCCAACAGGGGCGGGGCCTCAAGGGGCTGGTTTGGAAATCAGGCCTTCTCTTGACACGTGATGCAGTTAGCTGATCAGCTGTAGAGCTGGGCAATGGGGGAGGGCCTAGTGGCCAGGGGACTGAATTTACAATACTGTGTTGGGAGATGAATACACTTGAAATAGAATGCTAGCCAGTCTCTAAGAAGAGTTGTTTTATGTGTGTGTTTGTTTTTCACAAACTAAAATAAATTAATTAATTAAAATTTCAAACTAAAATTGCTGAAACACCGTGGGCCGATGGCTCACGCCTGTAATCCTAGCTACTCAGGTAGCTGAGACCTGAGGTTGAAAGCCAGCCCAGGCAGGAAAGTCCATGAAACTCTTATCTCCAATAAACTACTTAGAAAAAGCTGGAGATGGCGCTGTGGCTCAGGTGGAAGAGCTCTAGTCTTGAGCACAAAGAGGCTCAGGGACAACTCCCAAGCCCTGAGTTCAAGCCCCAGGACTGGCACATAAATAAAACAGCTGAATCAACCTAACTGTAAAATGTTTGTGACCCAATTAGAATGTGTATACTCACATCTTAGAAAGAGGTAAATTATTTATAGCATTTCCAAATAAAACCTATTAAGTTGGAAAAAGTTTCACTGGAGTGGTACAACTACTGAAAAAAAATGCAAATGTATGAAAGGCATGTTGAGATTTCTTTTAGTAGGCTTTAAACCTTACATTATTAAATTAGTAGTGACAAATAAAATGAAGGCCATTTAAAATGTTTTATTGAAGTCCCAGCTTACCTGGCTGCTTGTAAGGAGACAATGTAGACTGATCTCAGGCAGCTCCTGAAATCTGAACTCTCCACCATAAGGTTTTGCCAATCTCCTTAGAATCATACTGAGGAATTAAGGATAGGAAAATCTTGGGAGATCTTTCTGCCAAGGAAGCCCCAATCTGCCAATTTTAGGTTTCCCTTTGTCCCTGGGATGACAGGACTACATCCAGCTTCCTTCTATGGAAACAAATTCATATTTATGTCTAGGCCAGTCAAACTGTGATCCACCCAGTCTCAGCCTCCCACATAGCTGGAGATTACAGCCACACCACTGAACCCAGCTATGTGTTGAAAAGGGGTCTGTTAAACTTTCTGTTCAGGCTAATCTGAAACACAATCCTCCCTCCAATCTCAGCCTCCCAAGTATACAGTGAGTGATGGCACTGATTTGATGTATTTTACTCTTATCCATGGGGTCCCTCTAGCCTTTCACAAATTTCCATTTGTTGTTCCCATTATATTTTGGTAAATATGGTAGATATGATACATGTTTACTCAATAATTTTGTTTCTGAGTTGCTAGAAGCAACTCATTTTTTTTTCTGTTTCTTTTCTGTTTGTTTGTTTGTCTGTTTTGTAGGTCATGGAGTTTGAATTTAGAGTCTGGGCACTGTCTGAGCAGTTTTTGCCCAAGACTAGTTCTCTATCACTTTGAGCCACAGGCCACTTATGGTTTTCTGGTTGTTAATTGGAGATAAGAGTCTCACAGACTTTCCTTCTCAGGCTGGCTTTGAACCATGATCCTCAGATCTCATCCACCTGAGTAGCTAGGATTACAGGTGTGAGTCACCAGCACCTGGCTCTCATTTTCTTTATAAATCATATCTTGCAATCATTTTTCTTAGTTGTATATTAATTTTGTTCTGATTAGGGGGGATACTTATGCATATATAGAAGCTTGATAGTAAAAATTACTGATAAGCACTGCAAAGGTCCCCTCCCATACAGGTTCTGTGTCCTTCACCATGGACCCAAGCAGTCCTGTATGCTGACCCCTAAACATATCACTATAGCCTTGACCAGTGGTGAATGCAGGCCCTTTGGCATCACATCATGGCCTGTCGCCTCTGGAAGATTTGCATATGAACAACAGACTGATTAGACCTCAGTGGTGTGCTCCAAACTTAGCACCCAGACCAAGGGGGGGCGGGTGGATTAAATGATGCAAGGAGAGCTCATACAAGCTTCATGAAACCTCTGATTGACTCCAGGGACTGATATGGTTCACAGGCTGTCCAATGATCTCAAGAGTAATATAGCTCTCTCCTAGAGATACCATATTAACTCCTGCACAACACCCCCCAATGTCTCCCTTGGGACCCCTCTTGTCTGGCAGGAGATTTATCTTTTTCTTCAATAAATCCTTGTTTTTTTTCTTCTTTCTCTGTTTGTGGACTCATTCTTCAAGACCATAAAGACAAAGGACCTAATCCAGGTGCTGAAGTCTTTCAGTAGTAATAAAATATATAATATTGCTTATATAATAATTTCACATAATATATTAATATATAATATACACTACCATAATCTTTCCAAAATATGAAAAATTCCAGATTTCAAAATATATATGAACTGAAGATTTTTAGTAAAAATTATCACATGTAATCCTAGCTACTCAGGGGCTGAGATCTGAAGATCACAGTTTGAATCCAGCCTGGGCAGAAAAGTCCATGAAACTCAAGTCCAATTTACTTCTAGCAAAAAGCTAGAAGTAAAGGTATGGCTTAAGTGTTAACGTGTCAGCCTCAAGAAGAAAAAAAGCAAGGGAGAGTGTGAGGCCCTGAGTTCAAGCCCCAATACCTACAAAAAATAAAATAAAAAATGTTGTGAACCTGTTCGATCTAGCTACCATCTTATCTCCTATTTGTATGTATCCATAGAGCTATTTACAATGATGTTCACCTAGCATCATCTTGGTGATGGAATTTATACTAATATTTATTCTCTTTGTTTTCCTGAATCATCAGCACTCTTTCTTATGAACATGCTAAAATAAAACCTTTCTAAAACATTGAAGAAGGAAAGGAAAGGAGAGAGAAAGAGAGTATTAAATGTGACAATAGTCCAGGAACAGTGGTTTAAGCCTATAACCAAAGCTACTTGGTAGGCAATGATCCAGGGATTACAATTTGAGGCCAGCTCTGGCAAACATGGTCAGACACCATCCGACCAATGGAGGAGGACTGTTTCTCATCACAGTAGTGTAGGGAAGCACAAATAGGAGGATCACAGTCCAAGACAGCCCAGGGGTCAAAAAATAATCAACACCAAAAAGGTTTCTGGAGTGGCTCACATGGTAGAGAACCTGCCTAGCAAGTAGAAGAGTATAAGGACCAGAATTCAAACCCTCCTACTGCAGAAATAAAGAAGGAAGGAAAGGAAAGAGGGTCGGAGGGAGGGAGGGAGGGAGAGAGGGAGGGAGGGAGGGAGGAAGGAAAGAAAGAAGGGAGAGAGACACGAGGGCACGAGCTGTAATCTATCTATATTGCTTGCTGCTTGAGAAAATCCCTGGTGCCTACCAGCCTGTTTCAAGTCAAAGCTTGTTATTTATGGCTGTGCTTGTGTTTTATACAGCCACATAAATCAGATCACAAGCACCACCCTTGAGAAATCTATACATCTTCATCCTCAGCTTTAGACATATCAGATTTTGTTTTGCTTTCTTTTCAGTGCTGAACCTTTGAGTTCAGACTCTCACTCTTTGCTAGACAGGTACTCTACCACTTGAGCCACATCACTAGACCAATACAGGCTTTTAAAATCTGTTTGACAGCCATGCCCCAGCCTGCCTTCCTCATCCATATTTTCTCTAGAACAAACTGGATTATTATATCTGTTTTTGTTTGTGGGGTGGTGATATTGGAGATTGAATCCAAGGCCTCATACATGTTGAACAGGAGAGGTACAGCCTAGACCTGAAACTGCAATCTTTGCCTACTCAAGAAAGGGTTTGTTAGCCGGGCGCTGGTGGCTCACGCCTGTAATCCTAGCTACTCAGGAGGCTGAGATCTGAGGATCGCGGTTCAAAGCCAGCCCGGGCAGGAAAGACCGTGAGACTCCTATCTCCAATAAACCACCAGAAAACTGGAAGTGGCGCTGTAGCTTAAGTGGTAGAGTGCTCCCCTTGAGCTGAAGAGCTGAGGGACAGCGCCCAGGCCCAGAGTTCAAGCCCCACGACCGACAAAAAAAAAAAAAAAAGGGTTTGTTAAGGAATTGCTTACTTATACATGTATTACAGCTACATAATTAGTCCATTTCCATGACCCAAATCATAAGCTGATCTCTTGTTAACAAACTGATAAAACTGTCAATTGCTACCGGGTGGCTCATGCCTGTAATCCTAGCTACTCAGGAGGCTGAGATCTGAGGATCATGGTTCAATGCCAGCCCGGGCAGGAAAGTCCATGAGACTCTTATCTCCAATAAACCACCAGAAAACTGGAAGTGGTGCTGTGGCTCAAGTGGTAGAGCGCTCGCCTTGAGCTGAAGAGCTGAAGGACAGCGCCCAGGCCCAGATTTCAATCCCCATGACCGACAAAACAAAAACAAAAACAAAAAACTGTCAATTGCTAAAGATGAATTTGTTTAGGAATTTTTTTTGCCTCAAAAAGTTGTCTAGGAATTTTTTTAACACCATAAAAATAAGGTCTCTTTCCCATCTCTCCACCATATGTACATAAAGAAACTCAAACAGCATAGGTGGGGTGTTGTTTTCCTATAATCCTGACATTCAGGAGCCTGTGGAACAAAATTGGGAGTTCCAGATCAGCCTGGGACACAAAAGAGATCCTGTCTTGGAAGCAAAGAAGAAACTCAAGCAGACCTTCACACAGACAACTTCTAACCTCTAAACCAGACAGTAACATTGCTCAGGAATCTTCCAATCTCATACTTGGAGAGTTCCTGGATATGATTTTTAGAGAAAAAATAGCCAAAGGAAATCCGGTTTTCCGATCACGCCCCCTTTCAGAGAAGGTGCCTTTTACAGAAGTTCATGTAACCAAAGCTTATCTCCTTTCAAATTAATCCAGCAGAGGGCAGGACAACCAAAGAAAACTACTGGCCCTCTAGACGTCTTTGGTTATTAAGGAGAGGTTGAAGGAAA